AAACAAGTCCATCTCAAATAACATTACAGTCACAAGCTCACACTAGTCAACAGTTTTTCATGTTATTAGGTTCTCTTTTCAGACCAAGAATTTGTTTTCATACCTGACAGTTTCCAATGCTCACTAGCGCTCTTCCTCAGAGTGGTCACGTTATGTTGCTGTGACGTATCTGGTCAGCTGATTTACAGTTTTTGACACTGTCTTCCTACCAGTAGAGGCAGGATGACAACGCTATCTGCAGTCAGACTTCCTCAGGACAGAGTACTGACTTCCTTCAGCAGATGGTAGGAACAAATGCATAGCACACTCAGATGGCCGATGTCCAAAAGCTTTTTTATTTTGAAATAATGTTTTGGCAAAAAAAGCCTTTGTCAGATATCGTTCTCACCTTGGACCACAGTACACAAAATGGTTCCCAGCCCATGTGCTCACATACCCCTCCAATGGATGGGAGATCCCAAAGTAAGGTCACCCAGGGAGTTCAGTCCATTCTATAACTCACATTCAGTCTGTGAGGAGCTAGAGTCTTAAGTTGGTGAATCCAGAAGTGTGCTCTTTTTGACTGGAGCATTTCCAGATTCCCACCTCTAGGGGGCAGTTCAACAAACTCTTGGTCTGAAAAAAGAACCTAATAACATAAATTATCGGAAGACCAAATGAACCTCATTGGACCAACAGTTCTTCAGTTAGTCGCTCTCATCTAAACAGGGCCATGAATGCTCGTACTGATTACATGCTCCTAAAAATGCTGTTAAATCTACTTAGTGTTTTTTCTTGAGTTTTCAAGATTTTCTAAAAACGTTTTTGGTACTTATTGCTAATATATGCGTTGTGTCACCGTGGTAACTAATGAACATTACACCATACACATACATCACCTCCAGCGTGAGGTCACTGCTATCACTTGCCAAACTCTCTAACTGTGTCTTAAATGTCCTTAAGGTCTTGTTTTTTTCCCACGTAGACTTTTTTAGCAAAATTTGTCTTACCCCAGTGCAGGTATATTGTATAGCAGCTCAAATATATACACGGTGTTTGCTGTCTGCATCTAATTAAAAAGTGTTTTATTGTTCAGTAATCAGGAAGTGCATGTTAGCTTGCTAGTTTTTGTAAGCTTTTTGTCAGCTTCACTCTCTTGAGAGTTGAAAAGCTCTTATAAACTTATTGCAATGAATAATAAGGATATTTAGAATGCGTAAGAGAAGTGAGGGATAACTCTGAACTACTGCAAACTGTTTAAAATGAACTAGTTCTGTTGTTTACATATTTAAAACAGTAAATATCAATGCCTTCAAGGAATAAGCATTGAAGATAATATGGTTTTCCTGCTGTCCTCATTTATAAGCCTACAGTCATCATGTCTACCTCACCACAACCTGTCCCACTTTGACTCTCTGAAGAGGTCAGCTAAGTCTAAGATTCAGTTTGGGACAAATGCTTTGATCTGATCTTGTCTCCTCAGATCCTCTAGTGTGTTTTGGTGTCCCTCTCGTCTGGGTTTGTCTGTTTTATGTTCAGGGCTGGAGAGCATCCGCGATTGGACTCGTATTGTTGACAATGAGTCACTTGTGACAGTAGCAGCTGCTCTTCAATATGCACTCCCAGCTTCACAGCAGACCTCACATCACACTGAGCTGTTTAGCGATGTACATGCGAAGAGATGAAGTGTAAAGAGGACACAAAATATTCTACAGAAATTCTGATGAAGAGGTAGAAGATGAGCAGTGTAGAATGATGCCTCTCTGTATTTTTTATACAAAAGGGATGTCAGTCTGGTCCCCACTCCCTCTGTAGTGCCTCAAGCCTCAAGATTAGTTTGTTTATTTATTTATAATGTCACTTTAGGACAGCTTGCACCCCCTTGTTTGTTTTGTTTTTTTATACATTGTATTCATTATTTATTTATTTATTTATTTTTTTATTATTATTTTTGTCTTTTTTGGTGTTTGTATGTATAAAAGCAATTTTCCATTATGACCTGTTAAACACTTGAAGATGAAAACAATAAATTACTAATCACTCGTATTAAAAAAAATAAATAAATAAATAAATTCAGTGACACATATGAAATGAAGGAGCTTGTTCACCCATTATTTCACCCATCATCAAAATCAAATCTTTTCTTTCTTTTTTCCTCATATATGCAGCCGCGTCCCCGATTGGCTAATACACCTGTAAATCACGACCCATCTGATCTTGGGGAGATTTAATGGTGACCAGACTCGCATCATCGTATTGGCTGAGTGTGTATTTCTTTACCCCAGGCAAGATGGAAAGATTATTGCTTAGAATGAACTGAGACAAGCTCGAGGGTCGTGCAGTGATTGGGTTGACCCAAATTACCCTTAAAGTTTTCTTTCAGCTCGCGTATTATTGATGTCATGCAGCCAACCAAATAACTAATTCAAAGTAAAGAAAGAGGGACCATATCCTAGAGACTACTAGCCTGATTCATCAACCGGTTTCACTTCGTGGAAAATGTTCGCTTGACTTTTTTTTATTTAACCAATCGCTGCTATTTGGTTGTGTAATGCGCCACTAACAGGGCTGACTGGTATATTAAGCTTTTTCCAAATCCTATAGGATTTCCCCTTGATAAAATTCACCAAACATTCTCTTTGTTCCGGCTTTAAATCCTTGATCTCGAGAATTGTTGCCAACACAGAATGTATGGCTTCGTTTACATCCATCTCGACCACTTTGTTTATTGTTGTGCTGTACCACAAAAAGGACCCAGTCATGGCTTCACAGCTCTTTGCTGATTGGCTGGTGTGCAATCTACAACTTCCGGGGTTCTTGCAAACCCTCTAGTGTATACTGATTCCTGACCTAGTCGCTGGAGAGAAATGATATTGAGCGGAGGCACTAGGTGGCACCAGTCTGGCTAAGACACTACTACTGTTGTTGCATATTTCCATTGTGTCCTGTAGGGAAAGACACTTCATTCATTCATTCATTCATTCTGCTTTCATGCATTCATTGTGTCATTATGGTAGTTGTTTCTATACTAAAATTTTAATCTTGAAATTGTGGTATCAAAATTGTTATCAAGATCAGACATTTTCCTTAGTACCAGAGATAAATATACAGTATTCTGTGTGATAATAGATGTAATTTTCAGAGTAATTGTAGTATCTTTAGTATTTTCATGTGGTTTGGTCTTTAATATGGATTTTAAAAGATCAAGATAACTCAGGAAAGGTCCTTTTTCTTTTTTTTCTTTTTTTTTTACCCCAGTATTGAATACTTTCAAATGAGTATCTAGTTTTTATTGTTCACATCAATCTAGCATCCATTAGTGTTATTGACAACCCTAGACTCTGACTGAATAGGGACATCTACTATTAAGCACTTCATGATGCTTGTCCAGCTCCAAGTGCAGTAAAAATCTGAGCTAGTATTGCTTGATATAATGACATCAACAATGTATACTGTTTCTTGAAGTGTTACCAATTCATTCAAAATACATTATGGGATCAAGAAATTGTTTTGTTTACATTTCATTACATATGCAGGTCTCACATTTTCCATATTTACACAATATTTACACACCTTTATGCTGATTTTTAATGGTGCAAAACAACTTATTATTTTCCGAGTCTCGTATCATTGTTCAGATCTTCTCACGCTGGTATCTCCAATAGTAGAACTAAACAGCGTGACCAGACAAAGCAGCGTCACAGTGGTCCATTATTATCATGATTGCTGTCTCAGAGATGATAGTAAATGTGCAAAAGGATTCAATTTCAAACCTCCAACAGTAGGAATATATTTCTTCACTTCAGCCTGATCATGTCCACATTCTGTTCCTCCGAGACTGGTCGTAATTGGCCGATTCAGAGCATCTCTCGTCTCTCCTTATCTACATATGTACATGCACAGAACAGGCAGGATTGTGTCCCCGTGCCCAGGCGACTTAATAAAATATCACAAAAGGACAGAGAAGCATGATTCAAACATAGCTGCGGTACATGAAATCTAAAATGTGTTTAAAATGTGGAATTGGCAATCAGACTAGGGCTTTTATGTTATGTTCCTACTTAAAAAGAATATGAACTATGTCACTTTTCTGGTGAAGGACCTGCTCACCTCCATTGCTCGTCTCCATGGAAATGTTTGTGCTTTGTCTAGCATGTTCCATAGTATGGCATTAAACTTATCTATCTGTGGAGACAAGCAGGTAAAGGCAACAGGCCAAGTGAAAGGTCAGAGAAGTTTTTCAATTATATTTTTAATGATACAAACACCTGTAATTGAATAAATGCAAGAAACGGTATGTTTAATGTCATATTGTGGAACATTCCAAGCAGAACAACACCTCAGTGGCGACAAATAGAAAAATGTGGTCAGATTGTGTTAAAACAAAGCTCAGATTAATGTCTAATTTGAGTAACAGAACTTCAGACAGAGCAGAGCAAAGTATCAATACATAAAGTTGTCGATCTATCTATTAATTCAAGGAGCATCTGTATGTGTGTCTACTTGTTTGTCTATTCCACGCGTAACTCTCGAACCACTCATGCAATACGATCTCAAATTCGGAGGGTCGGTCGTCCCAATGGGACGGGTGTGTGCAGTGCCAATTTTTCATGTTGTTACAACAAAAAATGCCAAAGATATTTAAAAATTAGGGGTCACATGACACCATGGGGAACTTCTGAAGTTATTGCTGGCTACACTTGGAATCTGTACATCTTCTACTGGCTGTGCACTATTTACCATGAAAAAAAAAAAAAAAAAAAAACAGGTGCAAGGCCTTTAAACAACTCTGTCACGTAACGGATGCGGGCTCTGCACTAGTAGTGAATTAATGTGAGAGTGGATGTGTTTGTAACTAACTTTTGAACTCAACTCGGTGAAACTCAACAGTGCTGCCTATATCTTCTCTATATTAACTATATTTTCTCTATATTAACTTATTACATATTATTAACATATTACAATGTATCATAAATTTTGCATCCTTGTCTATCCTCATGCAAACCTTGGACATTGGTCAGGTCCCAAAGGCCGAGGAGCCCAAAAGGTGGAAGGTGTGACCAAAGACTTTTTATTTTATTTAAATGTTTTGTTATCGCTTTTTGTGAACTCTGCTTTGTGCCTTTTTCCACTTTGTCTTAGCCTTGTATTAGCTGTGGAAGATCCCAAAATTAATCATTATTTGCCAACATTTCCAAGCATGTTACCATATTTTTTGCTCAGTTTTGTGTCATTCTGGTGTCCTTCATTATCAATAGCAGTGAACAGAGAGCTGTGTGTGGATGTCACTGTCACTGTGGGGTCTCAATTAGGCTGACTAGACAATCCCAGTTTTGAGCCTGTGTCCCCTGTCCCAGCAGATTTATCCAAAACCAGTGATTTGTCCCAGTTTTATACAAGAAATATCCCAAGTGTCCCTATTTTTGACCAATTTGATGTAAACCAGGACTACATCAGATCTAGAAAAGAATTATCAAAATTTTTGACTAACCTGATCCCTGCCAACAGCAAAGAGAAACATAAATTGTCATTTGTTTACCCAAAATACAGAAATCTGTGTATGCAAATGACCTTAAAGCGAAAAAAAAAAATGCAGCAACACAAGTCTAAGAACCAAATTATTAAGCAAATTCAATGTATGTTCAACTTTTTTTCTTTAAAAGTGAAAGGTTCTTGTACTTGTTTATAGATTACATCCAATTTTGCTAATTAACTACCACTAATTAATATCTCACATCATATTATTATTCTCTAAATTCTGCAAACAAGTCTAAATCTTTCTAACATTACACAAAACTAAGGCAAAAAACAACTTCTAAACAGTTGCATTTCTTCAAAGTTACATTGTCAACAAACTAAAATTGATAGAAACTTGAATAAAGTCCATGCATCCATTGATCCAGTGTGTAGAGTATCTTATTCCTGCAAAATGCTAATGTGGCTGTCTAGTTTAGCGCTGCTCCTCCCTCAGCAGTATTAGAGGTCACAGTACAACAGAGCAGGCTGCACTCGCGGACTCACAAATGCCTTTTCAAACCCCACGGGACAGCCAATCAAAACAGGCTCTGAGGCAGTGACATCACCACGAGAGCAGGAGGCCACGCCCACCTGCGACCCCCTCGTGATGACTGGGCATTTCAGGCTCTTGCATCATTTTCATTGAGTTCATTTGGAATAATAAGTCAGTCCAGTGCTTTTGTGTTGTGTATTTGTGGCGTTGTTGCTGCTCCAGTGAATGTCAGTGCACTCCGCTTATGGTAAAACTGGCCTTTTCTAACAATGTGCCCTTTGTCTTTTATAGGATGACTACATACCGTATCCAAGGATAGAAGATGTAAGTCCCTCAAAAGTCCTTATTTACATATTCTGAATGGAAGTTTATAGTTGTTTTGAGTTTAGCTAATTTGATTGAAGTTCAATGTAAAGTCAACTGGAGTCAACTGGAGCTCCCCATGTTCACTTCCTATTTGGTGGCTAGCAAGTTAGCTATGTGCATTTATATATACCAGTGTGACCAAATGTCAATTTTTCCCCGGACATATCCGTTTTTTGTGTCCTGTCCTGGGCGTCCGGGTTTTTTTTTTCATAAAGTGATGCAAATGTCCGGGTTTTCATTTCCTTTCATTGGGCCATTAAATTGAGCGTCTCTCGTAGCTCTCTGTGACTCAGAAGGAGAGAGCAGACACAAAGAGTCGGTCAGCCTGCAACATGCCGAAGCACAAATGTGCATTTAACAATGACTTGGACAAGAAATTCCCCATTTTTTGTCCCGGTCAGGACAAGTGGGAGGCCATGTGCACAGTTTGCGAGGTGAGTGTAGCTCAGTGTTGAGGCCCCACCCCTGGTAAAGTGTCCGGGTTTTCACAAACGGAAATATGGTCACCCTAATATATATGGTCTATGATTCCTACCATAGACTGTATAAAAGAAGTGGACTAAGCGAGAGTGACATCACCCTGCTCAAATGAGGCTCATGATGCTAACGGTTACAGTAGCAAATAGGAACTAGCCCAAAAAAAAATTCTAGATTGTGTAGACTCGGTTCATACGAACATTTTAACAGCAAAGTGATGAGGCTTACGGCAGCAGTTGCAGAGAGAGGTTTGACAAGATCCTAATGTAAGTCAGCTGGAGCTAGAGTTAGAAGGAGCCGGAAGAGCCTCCTGGAATCCTTCCTATTTGGAATATGGTGGCTAGCGCGTTAGCTATGTCCACTCATATATACGGTCAATGATTCCTACCCATAATTTAGTCTTACTGCTAATATTCCTTGATCTATTATGTAGCCCTTGTTGTTAAGTCCAGATTTAGATAAAGGTCATCCACATTATCCCAATTTAACCATATTGTACATTAATAAATGTATTTATTTTTTCTCATTTACCCCCTCCTCTTCCCCCTGTGCAGGTCTTGGAGAAGGGCGGTCCGTACCCTCAGGTCATCCTCCCACAGTTTGGGGGGTACTGGATCGAGGACGCGGAGGCATCCGCAGGGACCCCTTCGTCCTCAGAGTCCAGTTTCTGTGACGATGAAGACAGCAGAGACGGCATGAGTCCAGGAGGGGGCAGCACCTACAGACTGGAATGCAACAGCACGGCCCGCGCATATCGCAAACACTTCCTGGGAAAGGTATCATACTAAACCAGTCTGTTTCGTATTACTAGATATATACTTAGAATATTTGTAACGTTCAAATGATCATGTTGCTGCAGAACTGATCAGGCAACGGACAATACAAATGACACCTGTCTCATTAGTGGCTACACTAGTTTGCCAATCATCAAGTGTTAATCATCTAATAATCTCAGCACTAAACTAGGCCTAAACCAGAGAATACCGCAATAATTGTATCTATATTTTTATTTACAGAAAACATTAAATTATAACATCATTTTAAGTAACAAAAGAGTTCATACCAGCTTGTCTCCATGGAGATGTTATAGCTTTGCCTAGAATATTACACAGTATGATGGCACCAAATTTAGCAATCTCCATGTTGACAAGCAGGTGTAAGTTACAGGTCAGATCTATGAAGAAGCAACCTGCTTATAGTATAAGTATTTTTGAACACTAAAATATTTGTATAGTGAAATAATAGGTAGATATGTTTAATGCTATTCTGTGGAGCAAATAAATTTCACCGCTCTACAAAAGTTCCGTAGTGCATCTTTAATTGTTCATATTTAATCAGTTAAATGAAAAGCGTACTTTCATACAACTTTCTGGCGCTGTGCTATAATTGTTTTTTAGCTTTTACCGTTTGACTTATGGTACGTTTTATTTCTATGCCGGTACCTATAGGCTTAAACTGTATTGATTCACGATGATGGGAAATTGCTTAGTCACGGTAGCTCAGCTGAATACAAAACATGCTCTTGAGGGGGGAGAAAACATTTATTCTTTTGAGGCTTTTGTAGGTTTATGCTAATGGTCCTATTAAAAATGCATCGACCTTTCTCTCTTTACAGGAACACATGAACTACTACTGTACGGGCAGCAGCATCGGAAACCTCATCATGTCTTTAAAGCACGAGGAGGCAGAGGGACAGGAGTTTCTACAAATAATTCTCAGGTTTGAAAACACAGCAGTGAAATTCACTCTCAACACATCTAAAAGTATTATTATTATGAGTGGAGTAATGACATGGTTCACTCATCAAAAAGACCCACAGGCATCAAATACAAGGAAATGACATTCAGTTGGAAGGATGTGACTCACTGTTTGTGATTTATCATTTCCATATTCATCTTTTTGAAATGCATTATGTCTTAAGGCAGGAAAGGTTGATTTGAATTTTTCAAAGGTGCTCTGTGTAACTTCTGAAGGAGGGCCTGACCATGTTGATCATCTCCGTTGCTATTTCTGTGCCTAAAATGTTCCATGTTATAGCATTAAAGAGCCTATCCTACATACAAAAACATATCTGGAGTTGCATTTTGTTTCATTCAAACCCTGCATATTTTGGCTAAGTTCTTATTGCAAACAGAAAACACTCAGGAACTGTTCAACCGTAAAATCTAAAATATTAAATATACAAGAAATGAATGAAAAGGAGCAGAAAGAAGAGTCATCTTACATTATCTGCCCCCTTTTCCCTTTTCCAGACAAAACGTAAACACAGATATTTACTTTAAAACATTTCATATCAGTACATTTCAGTTCTGTCATAATTATTAATCAATTGCAAACAAAAGTCTTCATTATTATGCACAACAACTTCAATATTATGTTGGTTTGTTTTAATGCCATCATTGTACTTGATTCTTATATCTTTGTCAAAACTATTCTATAAATTAATTCCTTTCACAGCGATGCTTCACTCAATAACCTTGTTTCTGAATCTGGGCTTTTTAAATGTTTAGGTTCTTTTTAAATTGAAGTGGCTTGTTCTCGTCTCAAACAGTCTTTGAATATTTACAGGTCATACATTGCACTTTGCTTTATACATGACTTTGAGGATACTTAAGTCAACAATATCATGCATTTTCAACACTTTAAGTTGAAGAAAAATAATGGGTTGAATGACTCTCTATAATTAGCCTGATTCATCAGCCCGTTTCACTTCGTAGAAACTATCTGATCTCGCAGCATTAGGATTCTTAGAATAATTTTAGAAGTAAAATCAGCCTTGTATATGAAGAATATATGTCTGAGCAGCAGCAGCAAGTTGTATTTCCTGATAGAAAGCTTGGCAGAAGTGGACTGATACATGAGAAAATAGTCCCTCAACATGCACCGATTCATGCGATGCAAGTTTAGTTTTATTTCAGACATTATTTTATCAACACAGACATTTACATCAACAGTCTGGTGTAATAATAGATTTGCGTTAGGTGTTTTGTGGAGTGGGTAAGGCTGTTTTTAGTGGCAGGCTAACTGTGGCCATTGACATAGTTGCAAATACAAGGACTGTATAGAATATTTTTAAAAAGTGTCTTCACATGTCTCCAACACTCTGGCAAACTAGGAAATGAGGCCCTATGCCCAAAATTCTCAACAGTCCCTTTAATTTCTTTACCAACTGCATTACTGTCTCTCACACTCACATCACATTCATACCAAGGTGGGTGAAATGTCTTGCACAAGGACACAGCATCACAGAATTACCTTTTGGATTGGATTCAAACCCTCTGGTGACAGGGTGAACCCTTAACCCACTCCACCACTGTCACTAAACTCTATTATCTGTTAAAATCAGACACACAAGCTCCACTTTATTAACAACAGCTTCATTTTATAAAGCACTGACCATCTTGTTTGTTGTTCGCTCAGAGGCGCTAAGGGATTCACTGGCTCAAAGTAAGTGATAATTGTGGTTCACTGTTGGGGGTAGACATGGTAATTTGTATATTTTGCAACAACAACATTCTCAACAAGTTAAAGAATACAACAGAATAGAGTTAATAATATGTATAATATTTTTCTACCCCTGAAATGCTTTAATTTTCTTCATGCGCCTGTCTTTTAAACACTTACCTTCTCCGCTAACAGTGATAAATATGGATTTGTTTGGACTGATGTGAGGGGTGGGGGCTGGCTTGGGCTATTATCACAGCTGGTGACAGTTTCATTGGAAAACACAAAACAGTCAATCATACTCTTGCTTTTTCTTGTATTGATCGTGAAAAATGTGGAAAGAAGAATTAGACATGCCATAGCTGACATCTTTATAACAGAGGTTGTACTGTATAGATGGAGTAAGTGTATAATTACAACAGTATATCCAGCCCTACACTCAATAACTGAGACAAAACAGCCTTACTTGGAGCAGTGTGGGAGCCGTCCTCTGTGGTTATAGCAATCAAAGGCCCTATATTACACAAAATTGATTATTGTGAGATTTAAGCCATGTTATAATGCTGTTGCCTCATAAGTTGTTTTGTTAAGTGTTTGAGCAATCCCTTATTATTAGTTTCTTATATCTTTTACACCTTGTGATGTCATGTAGTGGTAGTTTTTAAGTTACAGTGGGTATGGAAAGTATTCAGACCTCCTTAAATCGCAGGCATTTGCTAAAATCATTTAAGTTAATTTTTTTTCCCTCAGAACCCCATATTGACAGAGAAACACGAAATAGTTTAAATTTTTGCAGATTTTTTTACATGTTTTTTTTTTTAGCAAACTCCATGCGGGCTTTGATGTGTCTTGCACTGAGGAGAGGCTTCCGTTGGGCCACTCTGCCATAAAGCCCCGACTGGTGGAGGGCTGCAGTGATGGTTGACTTTCTAGAACTTTCTCCCATCTCCCGACTGCATCTCTGGAGCTCAGCCACAGTGATCTTTGAGGTCTTCTTTACCTCTCTCACCAAGGCTCTTCTCCCCTGATTGTTCAATTTGGCTGGACGGCCAGCCAAATTGGAAGGGTTCTGGTCATCCCAAACGTCTTCCATTTAAGGATTATGGAGGCCACTGTGCTCTTAGAAACCTTAAGTGCATCAGAAAGGTTTTTTGTAACCTTGGCCAGATCTGTGCCTTGCCAAACTTCTGTCTCTGAGCTCTCCAGGCAGTTCCTTTGACCTCATAATTCTCATTTTCTCTGACATACGCTGTGAGCTGTAAGGTCTTATATAGACAGGTGTGTGGCCTTCCTAAACAAGTCCACTTAGTATGATCAAACACGGCTGGACTTAAATATATGAGGGTCACAGCAAAGGGTTTGAATACCTATGGCCATGTGATATTTCAGTTTTTATTTTTTAATAAATCTGCAAAAGTTTCAACATTTTCATTTCTCTGACAATATGGGGTGCTGTGTGTACATTAATGAGGAAAAAAATTAACTTAAATGATTTTAGCAAATGGCTGCAATATAAGAAAGAGTGAAAAATTTAAGGGGGTCTGAATACTTTCTGTGCACTGTAAGATACCTTTTAGATTTGGTTCAGTAGATTCCACAATTACAAGACTGAAATCATCCAAATGGTTCTAGTGACGGTGTATGGAGTTTAAAAACACAGTGGAGCACTTCACATATTACTGCATGACATCACAAGGTGGAGTGTGTTCAGTTTGAGAAAAGAGCCTAAATATTTTTGTTTGTCTAAATATGCAGGGTTTGTGTGTGAAACATGCGTGGATAAAACCAACTCCAGGTATGATTTTGATGCGGAAACAATATAACACAGATCAGAAAATTGCATAATACAAGCCCTTTTAAGCACTTCAAATCAAAATATTATATCTTTTGAATGGGTCAGGTCATCACAAAGTCCTTCACATCAGGAAGGAATCATTTGTCTGAAACCCTTGAATAACAGCATATATGCATGCATCATTTGGTTGCAATTGCTTAAACCAAATTGCCAGTGAAGTCAATTTGTGTCTGTTCCACGCTTGGACAAATATAAGACATTCCAAGGACATTCTGCTGTAAAACAGTGAGAAGATTTGACAGTGTGTTGAAAAGGCATTAATAAGGTCCTATACTACACAAAATTGATTCTTGTGAGCTTTAAGCCATGTTATAATGCTGTTACCATCTCAAAAACATACTCTTAGTTGCGTTTTGTTTCAGTAATTTATTACTAGACTATCTCCAATGCTCAAAATGCTCTGTTCCACCTTGTGATGTCATGAAGCAGTAGTTTTCAACTTGACCTTTTACCTTTAGTTTAGTAAATATTAGCAATTCTAGAGCTAAAATCATCCAAATTATTCTATTGAAGGTATGTAGGGTTTAAAAATACAGTGGAGCACTTCCTGTATTACCAGATGACATCAGAAGGTGTTTTCTGTTCGAGAGAAGAACTCAACCTTAATATAGTATATATTGTTTGTGTCTTAAACATGTGTGAATGAAATAAAACTCAACTCTAGGTATGTTTGTGATGAGGAAACATAACACAGATCAGAAAAAAGCGTTGTATGAGTCCTTTTAAACAGTCACTAAACTTCTTCTTGTAAAGTGCAGATGCGAGGAAGTCAAATTGTCATATTGTCTTGTTCATTTTCAGTATGTAATTGTTTTAAAAGTTGCCAACTGTGCCTGGTTTGAACTGGAGTGTCTCTTTGTGTCTCGTTGCAGATCGAGGACCAAAACGATTCACGACAGAATCTCATTAGCAGGAATCAACCAGCTGCCCAGTGTCCCGCAGGTCGCAAAGGTACTCAAAAAACCCACAGTATATATGCATGCGACTGTCTGTGCACACAGTGAGTGGGTGAGGGAATATAATCCTGTCTGAAACTTTTTTTTTAGCTGTTTTGTGACGACGCAACAGGGCTCAAGTTCAACCCAGTCTTGTATCCAAAGGTGAGTGGACAAGTTGCATAAGACTACTCATTTCACTAAAATATAGTTCTGTCTTTGTGCCACTCCCATATATACCTTCTGCTGATTGGTTGGCGTATCCAAAAGTGAGCCATAGAAGACGTCAACACAACACATTATGATATAACATAATCCATTAACCAACTCCATCAGTCATATGTTATCAGTGTAGTAGGCTTGCACCAGTGATGTGTGTATACCTTTTATGAGTTCTTTTCTCAAACATCACAAGGCAGAACAGAGCATTTTGAGCTTTGAAGATGTGTTTGAGTAATCCTGCATTATTAGTCTGTACATGTGAATAAAACAAAACATAACTCCGGGTATGCTTTTGAGGAGGTAACAACATTATAACATGGCTTAGCAAGGCTAACAAGCTCAAGCAAGCTCACAAAAGTAAATTTTGCATAATACAGTATAGGACCTTTTAAAGTAATTATATTCAAGATGTTCGAAAAATCATATTTAGATTTCCATATCTCAGCAATTAGAGTTAAGTTTTTAATTTAACTTTATTTTGGACATGGACAGCATATGCAGCAGATATGAGATATGTAGAGATAATTCCATAACTGTTGTGTTCCAAACATAATTTTAACAAGGAAATAAGGAAAATACACAATAGTTATGTTTAGACTAATACAAATAAATGACAAAAATCTTTTTTTAAACAAAGAGTTAAACTTATTACATAGGTAGGGGTAATTTATTCCGTAGAACTCACCACTGGTATTGTATCCCCAAACCAAGAAATAATTGGAAACACATAAAAACCTGTCTGCATTGGAGGGCCTACATGCATTCATTGCATTATTTCTTTTATTTAGTAGCCATGGTGTGAATGGACCAGACATCATACAGCTTTTTTCATTCTTTTCACAGAATTTAATTAAACCTGAATTAAAAGAAAGTGAAGGTCGCATTTGGTTTTAAAACCTTTGTCAAACATTCACTAAATCAATAAGTAATCTCTGAGGAAAAGGTAAAGGTCTTGTCAGAATAATAAAGTAAACAACACATTTTTGAAGGATCACTATGTAAGATTACTTCTACTGATTCACCTGCTTGTCGATGGAACTGTTGTTGGTTTCTCTGGGATGTTTTACAATATGGCATTTAATTTATTCATCTTTATGACACTCAGATGATGCTGCCAGGCCAAGGTACAATTCACATCTGATGTTTGTTACTTTAAATAGTTACTTATATTGACTGTGCAGGGAAATACATTTTCTCTATACCAAAAGAACACCATTTCACAGGGCAATCAAACAACACAACATAGAGAAGGCATAATACAAGTGTAGTACAGCATCTGAAAAAGAGCAGGGGGTCATGGTTTATGGTTTGTTCGGTGTTGATGGTTGTGGGGATGAGATTGGGAAAGGTGACCCTGCTCACAGTAAGAATTTTTAAGACACTAAAAGCTCTAAAAGGCACTAAAAACATCTGAAATTGAAAAAAATATAAGACACAGTGCAATGTTCGTTTTTCTTCCTCCCACTCTCTTGAGAAATGCTTTTCTGTTGTTCACAATATACATGCAGTATGTAAAGGATTTTTTCTCTCTTGGCACAAACTTGAAATTAAAAAAATCTATCTATCACTATCATCCCCATGGAGACAAGTAGGTGACGCTCTACCAGAAAAGTTACATAGTGCACCTTTTAAATCAAATAAATGCCTTATAACTACTAAATCAAAGTATTATTTTAATCCTGTCACTATATAAGCCAATCCACATGAACCAGTCTTGTGGAGAAGTAAGGCCATCTAATAAAAAACTTTACATCTTAGGAGGCAGGCAATTTGTAATAGTCCCCCAAAAGCGAAAACACATAAGAAAGAACTAGACACTTCGCCTTGACAAGATTTCAAGTATATGTTTCAGAGCAGGGAAGCGCCACATTTTGACTTTGTAGAATAAAATAGATCTGACATGTTTTGACTTCACGTTTGCAGCTTTCTCTCTCCCCCGCTGCAGTCTCCAATTGTTCTCGAAGCCAGTGGGCTGTCTCCAACTCCTTACCCAAAGTCTGCTGTCTTTCCCAGCATCTGTCAACACCTCTCAGAGCGTTTATCAACCACAGTTAATGACACAAAATGGAGGCAATTGTCTAAAAGTGAATCGTTGGGTTCCTGTCTCTGTGGTGGGACTTATGAGGCATGCTTTCAGCTCTTTTAGCCTGAGGAGAGAGAGGGAGAGAAAGACAGAAAGATGGAGAGACAGAGAGAAGGGGGAAGAGAGTGGAAGAGAGAGGGAAAGAGAAGGGGGAGCCATCTGCGCCACAGTCTAAACGAGGCTAGATCTGTGCTGTCACCAGAGGCAATGACAGTGCACCATGTCGGCCTTGCGTAACATAGACCCAAAAATCAGCCCTCCAGTTATAATAGAAAAGATTGAAGCATATGAAAACAGTCAATGAAATATATTATAGGTGAAGGATTTAGGGGGGAAAATAATTATATTCGGACTAGTATTGCAAATGTGATTGGACTTGTTAACTTTTCTAACTGGTTTAGACAGATATTTTAATGGTATAATGAGTCTGTTTACATCTCTGAACTTCAAAATGGTCTGTTCCACCTTGTGATGTCATGAAGCATTGGTTTTCATGTTCATCTTTTACCTTTAGTTGAGTAGAGATTGACAATTCCAGGACTGAAATTATGGAAATGATTCTAATGAAGGTGTATGGAGTTTAAAAACACAGTGGAGCACTTCCTGTATTACCATATGACATCACAAGGTGGAGTGTGTTCAGTTTGAGTAAAGAGCTTAAATATGCAAGGTTTGTGAATGAAACAAGACATATTTGTGATGATTATAACATATATCTGAAAACACCAGAAATATCATTTTTGTTATTTAAAAAAAAAAGTCTTTTGACATGTGACTATTATTATGAATTTATTCTAGTTGTTGCAGCCCTTCTATGCATTATAAAGTCTACAACAAACACACAGAAACATGTGATATTATCCATTGTCATTGCTTCATATCCATCTCTTTGTGTTATCCAGGGCTCCCAGTTGATAGTGGCCTATGACGAGCACGAAGTAAACAACACTTTCAAATTCGGCGTCATTTACCAGAAGTTTGGGCAGGTGGGTGGGCAGTGCCTTTCTGTCCTTAACAAATCCCACCTCGACAACTCTAGTCTGATCTTCGCCTGTTTGTTTGTTTGGTTCTGTTTTTAGACCTCAGAAGAAGAGTTGTTTGGAAACAACGAAGAAACGCCGGCTTTCAAGGAGTTCCTGAGTGTCCTCGGAGACACCATCGAGCTGCAGGATTTCAAAGGGTAACTCACTGTTACACTGCAAAAATTCCATCTAGCTATGTTAAAAGGAATTAAATTAAGAACATTTTACTTTAATTGAGTAGATTCTACTTGACTGTAAAATTATCTGGCAATGGAATAAGATTTCTTAATTCAAGCAACATACATTTTCTTATGAATTGTTCTTTTTTTTTTATCTTAAAGCCATTATGTAACTTTTTATCCCAAAAACAGACTAGACAAATTTTGGTTGTTTTTCTTCCACCAAAAAACATCCTTACATTGAGCGGGCTTGGACCTCCACAAACCTGACTCGCATTTGCCCTGGCTTGTTTCCATCTAAATAAAGTTCATTTGGCTATAATTTAACACAGTATGGCATAAAATCTGTATCTCTATGATTTAAAGTTTGGTTTTAACTTTCTATTTCGATGGAAACTTGTAGGTACAGTTGCTTACTGTAGCTTTAAGTGTAACACAATGTATTTTCCTATTTTAATTACAGAAAGTCTTTTTCCATTGGTACATAATTTCACTCGAAGATACCATTTTTTTTAACTCAAGTCATTTTAACTTTGCTAGATTTGACTTGTTGCAGTGTAGAGCCCATTTCTCATCACAGATCTGTTTCATCTGAGCCTTGTCCATCAGCTCTTTGATTTAACACATCTGAAGTGAGTCATTTCATCTGCCTCTCAGTATGGGCACTGATCTCATTCAACATTTTCAACTACTTTAGAATTTATATTTCACATTTGACAGCTTAAAGTCATGTTCAGTGTCGTGTAAAATAAGTCTAGATTTATTAACTCTGAGGACTGAGATTTGAACATCCATGAATGAATGAAAGCAAACATAGCTCCATGTACAATGAGTAAGCAACATTACAACTTCGTTAAAATGTGAATACTAATAAAATTTAATGCAGCAAATAATAAATGCACTTGTCACCTACTGAGCTAAAATGATTAATATTAATTTAGAAGATCACAATAAAGTTCCTCTCTTGTATCTGAAAAGCACTATAATGGATTTATTCCATCACTAATACTGAAAATACATCTAAAGGACTATATTCGTGCCACAAGCTTGAAGCGCTGAGTTCTGGTTCCTGCACAGATGAGCTGACAGTGTGTGTGGTGCTGCAGGTTCCGTGGGGGTCTGGACGTGTCTCATGGTCAGACTGGTTCCGAGTCAGTCTACACGGTGTTCAGACAGAGAGAGATCATGTTTCACGTCTCCACCAAACTCCCCTTCACTGAGGGAGACGTGCAGCAGGTACCCACATCTGACATACTTTTAGCATGATGAATTTGATTGAGAAATGAGAGGTGAATATATCATAATACACATAATAAATCAAATAATAGTTTTGAAAGATGTTGACGATGAGAATTGTTGTGTGTTAATAAAAAGCAAATTTTAGCATCGAGACTTTGCTGTGAAATCATGTTGCAGGTGTTCTACATGTATCTCTATACAAGCATCCTGAATTTTGGACTTCCGGTCATCGCACAGTGCATACTGGAAAGAACCGTCCGAGTCTTTTGAACCATATCACTTTTGTTTTTGGTTCTGATATTGTCATATTTTAGTTATGGGATTCGGACATCATAATTGTGTGACTGTTGGATGTCCAAACAGCAGAAAATGGCTCAAGAAATGGGCTTCGGAAGTTTGCGAACTCCCTAACTGCTAAAGGGAATCAGATTTCTGTGACTGCAAACCTCTGTTCACAGTAGCAAGCATTTTGTATGTTTCATATATAAAATTTCTTACACAGCCAAAGGTTATCTTTTTCGTTCAATACTGCCCATCGCCTTCGACCTTTCACTACTTTTCTATTCTGTTGGGAAGGTAAACAGTTTGAACGGAGGTTTGCAGTCACACAAATCTGATTCCCTTTTGCAATTATGGAGTTCGTAAACTTCCGAACCCCATTTTTCGCTGTTCAAACATCCAACAATCACACAATTACGATGTTCGAATCCCATAACTAAAATATGACAATATCAAAACCAGAAACAAAAGCGATAGGGTTCAAAAGACTTGAAAAGATCGGCTTGACAATAGTCGCATCCCACTGGGAAATCAAACATGGCGGCTTGATGCTCACTTTTTCGGAGGATCCTTCTCAGTATTTATTGCGCAATGACCGGAAGTCCAAAATTCGGGATGCATGTATTGGAGGAATGTCAACAGTTGCCATGGTGACACAATATACACATTAATCAAAACTGAAAAAATATACCCTGAAAACTCAAGAGAAAATACAAAATGGAATTAAACAACACATTTTCAGGAGCCTTTGATCAATAAGAGTGTTCATGGCTGTTCAGGGTTTAGGAGTTTGATTTTCAATAAAAAAGGTGAGAGTGACAAACTGAAAAACTGCTCTCTAGCTTGTGACAGTAATTTTTCTTGTGAGAGACTTGTTTAAGCATCCAAATCATCTCAACTAAGATGTAGTTTCAACCAAGTCAGCTCCTTCTGGTCAGACCGTTAAAACAAAGCTCAGATTAAGTCTATTTTGAGTAACAGATATTCGGACAGAGCAGTGCTTTCAGTTTGCTTCAGTTTCAGTTTGCTTGTGCTTGTCCCTGTTTGCCATGGTTTGAGCCTAGTTTGGTTGTGATTTAGAATTGGTTTAGTCCTGGTCTAGATCAGGTAGCAGTATTTAAAAGCAATTCTTATTTTATTTTTTTGTATCTTTATGGAAAGTTACAGCAATGAAGCATCATAAAATGTTAAAAATAGCAAAACTGTTAACTGTTATTTGACAAGATACAATAACTTGAAGCACTGAAGTTCACTAATTTTCTTTACACCTGGTTTGATCATTTGGGACCACTGCAGACCAAGAACCTTCACGATTTGGTGCTAAGTTAATTAGTGGTTTATCTTGCTTCACTTTTAAATGATCATAACATTATATTTTCAACAGTTCCAGTAAATTACAAAATCATATCTATGTAATTAAGATCACAGAACCAGAAAATTGATCTTTTCCTTTTGTTCCTCAGCTGCAGAGAAAGAGGCACATAGGGAATGACATTGTGGCTGCAGTCTTCCAAGAGGAGCCCACGCCTTTCGTCCCGGACATGATCGCCTCCAACTTCCTCCACTCGTACGTGCTGGTGCAGGCCGAGAACCCCTGCACTGAGGACACCACCTACAAGGTACACAAATATTAAAGGACCTATCTATGATCTATGTTATGTTTTTTCCTAATCAAAAACATACCCAGAGTTATTTTTTGTTTAATTCACGTTAACACACAAACCCTGCATATTTAGGCGATCTTCTCTCAAACAGAAATCACTCTGTTCCACTTTGTGATGTCATGTGGCAATACAGGAAGAGTTTCACTGTGTTTTTAAACTCTATACACCTTCAGTAGAATCATTTGGATCATTTCAGTCAGTCAGTGTTTAGTAACTTGAAAACGACAGCTGACATCACTTTATAATGACATCAAAAAGTGTAACAGAGTATTTTGAGCTTTTGAGATGTAGGCAGACTTATAATAAAGGCTTACTCAAGCACATGTGAATGAAACAAAATACAACTGCAGGTATGTTTTTGTTCACATTCGAAGCTAAAAGCTCAATTTTGTGTAATATAGGACCTTTACAATATGTGACTGACATTTACACCGTAGGAAATGAGAATGCTGATTCTCTACATTGCTAAAAATCACTGTATAATTTACCACAACACAACAGAAAATGTGAACTGATCTAGAATATTTGACACCTGCTGCCTCCAAGGAGCTGTTATTGTTTTGCCTGGTATATTCCACAGTATGAGATTACAATTTCCTTGAATTAAATTTCCTCAGGTATCAATAACCTCTATATCTATCTAGCTATATCTGTATATATGTATATATATATATATATATATATATATAGAGAGAGAGAGAGAGAGATATTATATATTGCTCAAAATATCTTGAAAAACATAGCAAAGCCTCTCTACCTGAAATGTTTCATAGTTTAAGTAAACTCATAGGGTAATAATAAAAACTCAAATCAGGATACATTTTCTTTCATTTCTATTGTAGATAATACCTTTTGAGTGTTAGTTGCATTTTGTCTATTTTAAATACCTATAAAATGGAAACAAGGTTTATCTGTTTTATAATTCTTTTCTTGTGAATAGGTGTCGGTCACAGCAAGAGAAGATGTGCCTCCGTTTGGACCTCCACTGCCAAATCCTGCTGTTTTCAAGAAGGTACAATTTGCATATGAAATCTACAATACAGTGTTTTTAGACATGTAGGTTTCAGCTTCCTGTTTGTAGGCGACATTTTGAGGTCATTTGCACAGTGAAAAGGAACAATATTTTGGTTTGAATTATGAATGTCTGTGGCAATGGTGCTGAGTTTGCATCGTCTGAAACCCACAGATAAAAAGGAGGAAGGCAGGAGCATGCAATCTTAGAATGATGATGTGGTGCTTTTTTATAAGAAATATTCAGGGTAAAAAACTCAAATGTGATGACTTATAATTTACATCACTGTCCATTTTAATGCTATATTTATTAAATGAACTAGCCAAACTTCAAAACCATCAATATTTCAGATGGTTAATTGCTATGACAACGGCATATTCATGACTTGACACTTATGGATTAACAACAGTTATTTTGCCCTTATCTAAAACACCTATCATTTTACTGTTTAGACATTTTTATAATAGTTTGTTTATTTTCAATCACTCATGGATAACTACATAAGACATCGCACCCTGACTTCCAGCTCCCCAGACACCTCCTCAAGACCCAGACACAGATCATATCAGTGCAGTGTTTATTCCTCAGGGGCTGCTTCACAAACCATGAATATGCAAACTGGAATTACTCTAAGTGGCATTTAAGTTTAGATAAAACAAATCAAACATAGAACAATAGACAACATTTTTGTGATAGAAACGACACAACTGAACTCCCCCATAAGCGATGCCTCTTAATTATAATGGTTGGTTCATTTGACTTGAAGTTCTGTTGAAAATAAAAACTGTTCCTACAATCTCTGGTGTATTTTCAGCGCCTTGAGATTGGGCTTTTGGGAGGTTGCCATTGTCAGAAGTACCTGTATGGTTTTTTCATTAGATTTTGAACCTAAAACAGAAAATACACTTTGCTCAGAGTAAACCTGGTCTCAGATGCAGAATTTATAGCTAGACGACAAAGCAGCATTAAAGAGGGGTTATTATGCTTCTTTTAAGTGCTAGCCTGATTCATCAGCCAGTTTCACTTCGTGCAAACCGTCTGACCTCGCAGCATTAGAATTTGTTCTCTCAACTCTAGGCGGGTACTTTTTGTATTTAACCAATCAACGTTATTTGGTCGTGGCATATGTAATGCGCCGCTAAGGTGGCTAACTGGTATATTAAGCTTTTTCCAAATCCCATAGGAAGAAGGGCAATAACATTTTCCCCTTGATAAAATTCACCAAACATTCTCTTTGTTTCCGCTTTAAATCCTCTATCTCAGGAATCGTTGCCAACACAGAATGTATGGCTTCGTCTACATCCATCTCAACCACTTTGTTTACTGTTGTGCTGGACCACAAAAAGGACCCAGTCATGGCTTCACAGCTCTTCACTGATTGGCCGGTGCACGGTCTACAACTTCCGGGGTTCTTGCAAACCATCTAGTGTATTCTGATTCCTGACCTAGTCACAGTTTAATAAAATGTGGCCACTCCCCTTGCTCTGTGTGCTAAATCACTACCCCATCAGAGCACTGTCCTAAAACGTAGCGTGCATTTCACTAATAAAACTAGCCATCTGGTTTGTGAAGTTGTAGTGGACTATTTTGCATCATGTTTTTGTATATTTATGGAGAATTGTCATGTGGGAGCATGGGTGATGTAGGCTTGTGGGCTGAGCATTGGACAGAATCTTACAGCTAACCATAAGGAGGGTTCGAATAGTGCTGAGGAGAGATCACGAAATTACACAAACATGCATGGGTAGCATAAAACTTCTTCAGGAATGTTTTTGATGACGGTGTAATGTTATAACATGGTAAAGTCTAAAAAGTTGATTTTCCAGTACACAGTTTCTTTAAAGTAATATCGTGTATTATAATACAGTATGTCCAGTATGTCCTGTGTGTATATTTGAGGCAGTATTGACAGTGACAGTGGTGCAGACTCGTTGCTGGTGTGTGATCTTGAGCTTTTTCTCCTCTGAAGTGACAAACAAGCAGGAGGTCCGTTTGTCTTTAGAGTGTGCAGCTTATGCCTCTAATCTGTACAACACTGATGAAGGTCACCCCTCACTGCTCTGCTGCTGTTTATCAAACCACACTAACTCTCTCTCTCTCTCTCTCAATCTCACTCCCTCTCCTCCCCTATTCCCTTCTCTTCCTCTCTCTCCCTCCTCCTCCACTAACTCTCCCTATCTCTTTATCTCTCCTCTCTCTTTCTTTGCCTATATCTCTCTTTCTTTGTCTATCACTTTCTTTTTCTACTTCTATTCTTCTGCTCTTTATGAAACAACGCTAACTCCCACTCTCACCCTATCTCTTTATCTCTCCCCCCTCTCTCCCTCTTTCCCTGCCTCTCTTCCAGGGCCCAGAGTTCAGAGAGTTTTTGCTGACGAAGTTGATCAATGCTGAAAACGCCTGCTACAAATCTGACAAATTTGCAAAACTGGAGGTGATACACACAACACACATGCACACAAACACACACTCGCACAATAAGAGATCAGTCACAGCTCATTTGAAGTTGTACAAGATATCTTAATGTCTTTGTTTTTATATGTTCATTAGTGAAAATAGTTTGACTCATAATCTCAACAATATGAAATAAATTATGGAACACTTTGAATTTAAAGATGCACAACAGAGAGTTCATCACCTGATTGTGTACCCATGGAGAAATGTTCCACAGTATGGCATTAAACTGATCTATCTCCCTGGAGACAAGCAGGTGATGCCACAAGGTCAAGTTACAGGTCAGATCTACGAAGTGACGGTATTTTCTTTTCAATATAAACACCTAAAAGAAAAAAAAATACATTACGACAATCAGTTACATCTTTATGTGGACTAAGAGATATTGCACCAGTGTTATGACCTAAAAAATGAATTCACCATATTTAGAAAGGACACGGAAACAAAGTTTAGGATTAGAGATTTTTTTTTTTTTCTGACTTTGTAATTGTTGGAACCAAAAAAGAAAACCCTTAACTTGAGCCCAAAAAAACAAGAAAAAGTAACAGAAAGGTGGACCTGATGAGCCAGTCAAACAGAGCAAAAAGGTGCGACACCGGGCCAACCCCATACAGGGCCATAGAAGCCAGTGCCAGCACCCGTAACTAAAGACAAGAAACCTAAACCCAATGGAAAAGTGAAAACAGGACATCCGGTCCCACCAGGTCAAAACAAAAGGCTAATGGCTAACAAAAAAGCTACCAAAACAAAGGAGCAGGGCGTGCGCTCTCCGGTACCTGTGAGCCACAACAGAGGAGGAGGAGAAGAGAGCGATAGAGAAAGGTGGCGCCGGGCTCGCGCATTTAACAGCTCCTGCCGGAAATTAGAGTAACATCAGCTACAAAAACATAACTATAACTTACAAAAAACAAACTAGGGAAAAACTGCTACAAAAAAATATAGACAATTAAAAAAACAGGGGGAAAACAAAAGGTGTCCAAACTTAACAACCAGAAAAGTTACATATTGCATCTTTATTTTCCTATTTCAAAGTTGTGTGCGCAAGTGTGAATGGATGTTATGGTTTTAATGATGCTCAACAGCAGAATCTCATTTAAACAGAATAAATAAAAGGTTTTGAAGTAAATGTGACAGTGTGGTGTTTGTGCGCCTGTGTTTGTGTTTGTGTCAGGGGCGCACACGAGCTGCTCTCCTGGATAATCTCCACGACGAGCTGCACCGCCAGAGTCAGACCATCCTGGGCCTGGGTCAGAGTGGAGACGACGACAAACTGGAGAACGGGGGGCACGGGGGGCTGCTCGAGTCCTTTAAGGTGAATCTAATGTGTGCTAATACTAATGGAGGAAATGACTATTTTCAGGTACAAACAGGTACAGTATGTTGGCTAAAATGTCTGACAGTTTAGACTTGACTAATTTATTTAATTTTACTTTAAAAGAATAACTATCAAGACTTTTAATTATACAGACACCAGCTTGAACAACATTGTCAGTGTTTAAAGATACTCTGCGTAACTTTGGAGAAGGGTCCACCACACGTTTGTCTGTAATGTTCCACAGAATTAAACTTATCTATCTCCATGGAAACAAGCAGGTGGGGCCTCAAGGAACAATACAGGCAAACCAATATAATTTCTATGGACACAAACAGGCAGTCCCCTTACCAGAAAAGTTACACAGTGCACCTTGTAACTGTGTTGTGTCTGTGTTTGTTGCATGTTTTATTGATTTGTGTACATGTACTGTGTGTGTTCATTTTGTGATTTGCATGTTTTGTGTATGTCATGTGACCAGCGGCTGTCACTCTTCACAGGCGTTTTGGGCTGCCTCTTTGCACTTTCTGCAGTCACACACAGGGGGTGCTGTTCTCATCGCTGTCCTGGCACTAGCTGTGTACTATATCTCTGCATTATTGTAAATCCAGTCAATATATTGCAAATAAACAAGCATATTTTTCATTATGTTGTTGATGTTTATGCATTCAGACAAGACAATAAAGCATATAAAAAGTGCACAATCATTATAGCTGTGACAAATAACATGAAAAAGGTTGATTTATTTTGTCTTATATGCATGATAGGAAATAAATACACTGAAATGAAATACATTAGGCAGTACATTTTTACTTCTGTAGGCTAAGTGATTGTATTTAAGTATGTATTTTAAGTTTTCAGTTGTATTATTATTAATTATGGCATTTAACATTACCTAACAAATTAATGTAAACTACAAGCTCAGTTTTCTACATCCACGTCATTTTTTCTTTAGCTCACTGCGCCCTCTGGTGTTCATAGTCTGCAATGACATTAAACTAGTTTATTCTTCATTAAATCAAACCTCTCTATAATAAACAAAATGAGATTAAAATTCCTTCCCTGTGTTGTCCACCAGAGGGCGATGCGGGTCAGAAGCCATTCAATGGAGACGATGGTGGGGTCTCATCGCCACAGGAGCCCGGGTGTGGGGGGAGGAGTCCCGGCCAGTCTGAGCGGAGGAGGGCTGCCCCAGAGCACCAGCGAATGCACAAAGAGCACTTTTACTGTGAGTAAGAGTCAACAAATCAGTCAGAATATAGGCTACTTCAGCTACTTTTATTTTTTTGTTTTTTTTACCTCAAGTACATCGTAACTTAGGTTGTGATGATAGTTCAGACTAAATCTTTAGGGCTCCAACGACGATTAATAAACTCACAATGACTAGTAAAAAAAAAAAAAATTAATCATAGCTGTACTTTGATAATCATGTACTGTAACAAAGATAGCTGTATTATTAAATAAAAAAAGAATAAACCTTTTCATTAAAATCTTCATCATTTAAAAAAGTCTCAATGTGCACTAATCGACTAATGAAAAACTTAATCGCTGACAAGTTGACTACTAAAATAATCGTTAGTTGCAGCCTTCTTCAGTAATTATTACTGTTGTATAAAGACTGTTTTCGCAAAGTGTTTCTCAGACTTTTTTTCTAGGTACCCATATTTTAAAAATCACAAACCTTCACGACCCAAGTCAATAGACATTATTCGTAAATCACAAAATAAATGTGGATTTGACCATTATTGAACATGACGATATTTTACTGCTGACTGAGTGATCGTGTCTCTCTGAACAATTAGCATTTCTCAAGATAAACAGTAACAAGCAATCCGTAACATTAAGTATAGCCCTGTTTACTGCCGACCTACATGCAGATCGTGACAAGGTGACCTCCCAAAAAAATCTCTTACGACCCACCTGAAGGCCGTGACCCAGTCTTTGAGAAACACTGCTCTAGACTGTCCTGAACTGAACCATACTGGGACAGCTATGGCACAGTTGTTGGAGCAGAAGGGGATTCCAGTACTAACTGATCAGTGCTTACAGTAGTTTTTGGGCAAGACACTTCATGCACCCAGCCTGAACAAGTTATGTAAAGAGAGACATGCTTCTGCAAGCTGTGTCAGTATCTTACCATCACTGAATGTGGGCATTGAATGAATAACTGAGAGTCTGAAAAAGCAGTGTATAAAACAAAGGCATTATTATTATTAGCACACACACATACAAACACAGAGAAGAGTTTGCAGTAAAGTGTTCGTGGTGTTTTACTAAAATGTGTTAAGTAAACTTTAATCCACCTGTGCTTTTGTGCGTATTTAAGTGAGATTTGTACTTTTCAGCCTCCTGGTTTATCTGCCAAGTCTCCGCTCAAAAGCCCAGTGAAGCGACGCTCAGGCCTTTTCCCACGTCTGCACTCCAGCACAGAAATCCCCTCGTCAGACAAGAGCACACGCAGGTACGAGCTGCTCACAGATCTCACTCTACTCAACAACTCATTATTATTATTATATGTAGATTAGAAGTGATTGTGATTATTTTTTGGATTAATCAGACTATTATGCTTGGATATATTAGACTAAGTGCCTTTGAGATAGTTTGAGATAGTGATTTTATTGTTTAAGGTAACATGCAGACTGAAGATGACTTGGAACAGATTTCTTTTTACTATGATATTATTAAAGTATTATTATATTAGTAGTTTTCATCAAAATCAATTAGTCAATCTTGTCGGAAACAGGCACACAGAACTAACATTTAACTTCATCTGGTGACAATACCAGTTTTTCTCCATGGTGATGATAGATGCCAAGTTTCATGCCATACTGTGGAACATTTCAGGCAAAGCAATAACTTAAATCTCTGTTAAGACAAGCTGATCCTAACCTCTCCTGAATCCTCCATCAGAAAATTTACATAGTGCACATTTACTTGTTTAGTTTTTTTCTTGTCTCCATTTCGGCCACCGCTTCATTGAAACTGTATAGACTTACTGTACATTATGTTGTGATGTCCACAGTGAGCACAAGCCTTTAGAGATCTGCCCGTTGTCCCAGGAAATGCGGTCAGACACTCCGTCCAACCCCAGCTCCCCCGAGATCTGCCCCAACAAGGAAAGGTGAGAGAGTGTGGTCATTTTGCAAAGAGAGACTACAACTAAGGAACAGCAAGTTGGATTTTCATCACTCTGTATAGCATGTTTTTAATTTAAATGATTTGTTGATTTGTCTCAGACCATTATTCAAGCTGAAGGACTGCAGCAGCGGACGACCAAACATCTCGCGATCCTCGTCCAGCACCAGCAGCTTCAGCAGCACCACAGGAGAAACAGAGGCTCTGGAGGACCTCGAGTCTGTGAGTACATCTGATACTGGAGGTAGTAATGGTACATATGGACTTTAAGTGGGTAGAAGATGGACAGGTGGATAGACTGACAAATTCAGCTTTTACAGTACTATATATTTAGGCTTTTAAAATCTGCTTATATCAACCAATGCCATATAATTTCAGTAAAACTAGTTCAGTTTTATCAAAACTTCCTAAAATATCAAGAGTTATGATGGATCAAATATGTAAAGGAACAATTAAGTCTATACCATAATAATATTAATTGTTTACCCATTACAGTAACTTCACAACTGCGAAAAAAAAATAAAAATAAAAAATAAATAAAAATCGTAAGATAGTCTGATGGAATTCCAGATTCTGAGCTTTAAAATGAGGAAGTATCAAATGTCAATATTTACTGGAGTGAAGTTTTTGGTTGTGTGTTAAAAATGATTGATTCTGGTATCGGATCAGATGGAAATAGCAATAAAACACATTAGATTATGTTTTTCTTTGGCACTGTGGAACACTACATGTCTTTCACTAAAAGTAAGAAAGTAAATGTAGTGTACCATTAATTTGCTAAATGAATTCAGCTAAAAGAAAATTATTTTAAACCATCTAAACTTGTCTTTGGAACACATATCGCATTATAAAAAAAACATTTGCTTTAAAAGTTATGACAGCCTGAATAGTTCAACCTCCACAGAGTGACTAACACGTGTTTATGCCTGTCACTGTCTAGCCCCATTACCCATGATGCATTGCTGTTCTCTCATTGCCTGTCCTCTGCTCTTGTCTCTGTCTCCAGGCCCACCTCCCCTCTGTCTCCACCTCCTCCTCCGCCTTTAGCCCCGCTCCCAGCGTCGACAGCCAGGGGTCAGGAACACCGGTCATCATGTGCCGCAGCCCCACAACAGGTGAACATACAGTGGACTCAGTGGAAATTACATGAACTTTCTGATTTATATCATGACTTTTGTTCACACTATATGATTGTAAATACAATAAATCACAAAACTCTTGATATCACAGTATGGACTAAAGCTATAATTAATATCGCGGGAAAATAAATATCTGTACCAAGTTGTACATTTGACAGTTCATGGAAAGTAAAATGCAAAAAAAAGTAGATTTTCTAGTCTTACTTTAGCCTTGTTTTGGTCTGTTTGTTTTTACTTTGACTGGTTGGACTAATGGCTTGTGCATTTTTGTTTTAATTCAAATGAACTTATTGTAAATAACTGTAAATATATTCCAATACTCCAATAATAGTGTTCAATAAAATAGTGATCAATATTTCTTTTTGGAGCAGTTCTAGTTCTTGTCTTTGTCCAGTCCTGGTTTGAGCTTGGTTAAGTTTAATATAGACTTGTTTTAATCTTGGTCTAGTCTATATTTAGTCCGGGTTTAGTCCCAATTTTGATGAGGTGTATGTGCAAATGTTCTCTTAATATATTAGCGGTATTATAATTGAAGTTGTGAAAAAATTCTTAAAATTACCTCTAAAATTAGAAAAGAAGAGACTTGTCCAAAAGAGCCGTTATGTTTAAGTCTGGTAATATAATAATAGAATAGAATGAAATTTGGTATCCACTCTTACTCCAAACGTTGCGCAACAGCTATGTGCGTCTGTACAGTTTGTTGACTAATAATCTGAGGCCCTTTAGTCCAGTCTTTACAGATGCTGAGTCCTTGTATTTATCAGGTGACACTTTTCCAATTCCTCTTTCTCTCTCCGCAGACGGGAAAAGTAAGACATCGCCGAGGTCAAATTTGAAGTTCCGCTTTGACAAAATGAGCCACTCGTCGACAGCCGTAAGTGTCTAGAGCTCAAGGAGACTTTTGGTATTACTGCGCTCATGTCCTTCACAGAGCTGCTTTCACTGTCCATGTCCATCTAATAATAAGAATTACTATCAACATTGGGTTTATAAAGCGCTTTTTCACTGTAACTCAAAGACACTTTATAATGATAAACGTAAGACAAGGGCAAGACAAAAAATAAGCAGATTAAAGAACGGAAAAAGTTAGTTTTGAGCTGTTTTTTGAGGGCATTTAGTGAGTCTGAGTTTCTGATGTGAAGGGGAAGGTAGTTCCAGAGGTTTGGGACAGTGATGGTGAAGGCTCAGTCCCTCAAGGCCCTGTGTTTTGTTTTGACTATTGGAGTGAGGAGGTTTGAGTCTGCTTTTTGGGTGGAAGCTTTGCCACCTATTTGTCTCCATGTTGATGTTATTTTTTACCCAGAATGTTACACAGTATATATTTAAATATATCTACATCCATGGAGATAGATGAAGTAGGTGACCCCACCAGTTGTAGGTCAGAAATAACACTTGAAACTGAATAAATAAATGATAAAGACTGATACGCTTAATGCCAAACCATGAACATTCTGGGCAAAATAGTAAGATCTCCATGGAGACAAACGACCAGTAAAGTTAAGGGCCTTTTTTGTGTTATGTTGACAAAATTTGGAGCTTTTTTTAGTATTAATTACTCATTCTTAACACATCAACATTTGTTTTAGATGTGATACACTTCTGAATTTAGGAATTTCAATAAAACAAAGAATCTTTATTTATCAGTATTTATTGAAAGTATTTTTTTAAAAGTGCACTGTGTAACTTTTCTGTTGGAGTGTCCTTCACCTGCTTCTCTTCATAGAGATGTAATTGTGTTGCTTGGAGTGTTTCACAGTATGGCGTTACACTAACCTCAAGTAAACCCAAGCAAATGATGCTACAAGACTAAGTTACATGTCAGACCTGTGGAGAGGCAAGCCCACTCACACAAAAAACACAATTTAATGTAATAAATGCAAGATGTTTAACAAGTTATAACACCATACTGTGGAACATTTGAGACAAAGCAATAACATCACCATGGAGAGAAGCAGTTGACGGACCTTCCTCTAGAAAAGTTACACAATGCACTTTTAAATATATTCTTTTCTCTTACAGGCAGGTGTTATGTAACAGCTCTATAGTGCAAATGCATTCTCCTCTCACTGGCCTCTCTCTGTCTCTTTCAGTCCGAGTAGCTTTGTGGCCCCGACATAACAGACTTGCACAACAAAGAGACTGACCGCAAAGGCTCATGGGAAAAAATATCCGTCCACCATATGGCTTCTTTGTCGACCACTTCCTTAAGCCAAGGATTGTACAAAAAACATGAAGTCTGGAGTCCTTATATTGACGAATACTGTGAGTGTATAGGAAGAAGACGCACTTGAAATGTTGGCTCTTCGCTGGCTTCGTTTGTGTGGCAAAAATCAGTGAATATTTTACTACCAGTTGCTGCATATTTGTTATTCTTTGCATCATATGGAAGTCTTGGCATAGCTGTACTACTGTGAGTGTAGGCTGGCGTTGTTTCATGCCAGTTTTTTTTTAAATAGAAGCACAGAAAGAAAATAAATATTGCTTTTTGAATAGGCTGTCAGACACTTAGACATTTCCTTTTTGCCTTGAGTGCTGTGTCTGCTCCTAGTTCCTCGTCTGACAAAAAAAAAAATCCAAACTACACAGAAATGCCTCTAGACTAGATCCATAGAAATGCATTGTCTTAGTAGCACAGCACTGGTGTCCATTCATTTTACAATTGTTGTTTTTTAATGTTTTTTGTTGGGTTTTTTTTTTTCATGTTTTTGTCATGTATAGCTGCTACATTTTGAAACGCTTGTTAGTTGATTAGTCTGCATTGAGTCCATGGGTTGGGTTGGTACGGTACAGTTTGGTACAACAGAAATGCTTGCGTTTCCATTGTGCTTAGATTCATAATTCACGAAGCTCTTATACCTCAAAATACTATCGTTTTTTTATCATTAGTTACTGTAATATTTTCCTTTTACTCACCTCTTGTGACTAAAGGGAGTGTATTTAGCCATATTTTTCAGTGGTACACAATCATGGAGATTATTATTTATTTCGCTTAACTGTTAACTGTCACCATTTTGAGGACTTTTGACCAAATATAGGATAATTTAATTGTTTTTATGGGAACTGTCCAACTGTCCAAGGCATTTACCATGGTCCAATGTATGTCCACTACTATAGACTTTCCAAAATTTTGTCATACGCAAAGGCGCACATAGCAAAATTGCCTTATAACACTTCAAATGTTTTTTATTTCACTCCTAAGTCTAACTAACTCATTCATTCTTATGCGGGAAGCGAGGGTGCAGTGTCTTGCCCAAGGCCACAACGTCTGTAACAGTAGTAAGGGAACTGAACCATCAACTTCACTACTGCCAGTGAAACAATAAAAGATTCAAGCACAATGTTATTTCCCTAATAAAAACCCCTCTTGTAAGCGTGCCATACCTGCCCAACCTGCTCCATCCACTTTGAATGCGACACGGGACAAAAAGGGACACTGCCAAACACACTTTAAAATTAGCCAAAGCTACGCCTTAATCTGCTTTAGCATTTTATTGATTCACTTACTCTCTCCGTCCATCTTGTTTCACTGTAAGAGAGATCCTACACTAGCTAAAAATAGCCTTTGCACTTGCTCTGAACATTTCGCCTCTTGTAGATCTTTCTGTGGTACACAAAGAGGAGGTTTTAACCAGAAATACATGAATTTCAATGGGCATTAGATCCATTTTAATCTGCATTTTGAGCAAGTAAAAAAGGTGAACCACAATGACATAAACTTGAATTAGATATTTTTTTCTGACTGATGTACTACTCTAAATAACCTATAGATACTAGTAGTAATTGCTAAATACACAACAATACAACTAGTCTGAAATTGCACCAACTGTGAACTAGATAACTGTAATGAAGTAGGTTTAATGCTGCTGATTTCTTTTATTGTTGATTCATCTTTGCTTAACATTTTATATATGGTTATGTTTTGTTTTTCAAGAGGTCAGCTGGTCATTTCTCTCAAGGCTCATTATTGAATACAAAGGATAATTGGGACTTTTTGAGTGATGTTTAATCATTGTATGTGACTGTGATAAGGTTGGGTTCACGAAATGCCATAACAAGGGCCCAAAGTTTAAAATGGAGGTAGAATTACTCGTCTTATCCACATGGAACCATAACTAACAATGTTAAAGGTGCACTTTGTAACTTTATTGGTGTTGGGTAGGTACGTTATCTGCTCGTCTCCGTGGGAATGTTGTTCTTGTTCCACAGTTTGGCATTAAACTTGTCACAATCTCTGAGATACACTGACTCCATTAAAGGTTAAGCAAAGTTACAGGTCAGATCAGTTTAACAATAAAGATTATAGAGCATTAGTCATTCACTCCACACTCGGTGGTGGTAAGGGACTATTGTACAGCCCTGGGGCAGACTGTCAGAAGTGAGGCTGCTAATCTGCGCCATCAGCCCCTCCAACCACCACCATCACTCACGCACACTCTACTTTCATACTAGGCAATCTGGGTGAAGTGCTTTGCCTAAGGACACACAACTACAGTTTTTACGACTAACACTCCACTTTGGCACCTGATTTTCCCAGTGGTTTTCCTGTCCAAGTACTAACCAGGCCTGGCCCAGCTTAGCTTCTGAGGTCTGACGGGATCAGGCTTTGACAAGCCGATATGGCCACACATTGAGAAATTTAGTTTAGAAGCAACACTGATCACAGTACCAAATAAACACATGAAAATTAATAAATGTTTAATGCCATACTGTGTAGCATTCAAAATATAATATACATAACATTATCAACAAATAGCACATCCATAACCAGAAAAGTTACACATTGCACTTTTAACACAAATTAATCAAGACAGTTTTTCTCACTAGAGTCAAGAATTAAAAGAATTATTGAAATATCAAATTTGTTGTCAGTTAAAAGGACGTTAAGCCATAGCAATTTGCGTTTATTTCTTTTTTTAAAATGGAAAATAACTGACATCACAACATTCTAAAATTCCCATCGTTTAAAGGTGCATTGTGTAACATTTCTGGTGGAGGCTCCAGCTCCTCTCCTTGGAGATATTACCTGGAATGTTCCACAGTCTGTACTTATTTATCTCTACGGAGACAGCTCCGTAGAGGGCCACATTACATATCGAATCCAGATTTTTAGGTCAATAAAAACCCATGTTATTAAGTAAATGCAAGATGGATATGTTTAATCCCATACCGGAACATAAACAAAACATCTGGAGGCAAGCAGGTGGCAAACTGTCAGAGTGCACTCTTGTTGATCTGGTTTGTGGTTAATATCTCTAATTACTAGGCCTAACCACAGGAAACCTAAACAGTAGCAGGAAATTATTCTCAGTGACAAATAAAGAAAAGTGAAAGTATTCTCTCACAGTAGCTTCGGAAAGTGGTGCCATTATGCAACCCCAAAGACAAGATTGTTATCATTTGAAAGGATGTTAAGCCATACAATTAATATGGCAGGTTTGTGAAGCCAAGCCCTTATAATAATAAGTTTTAACATTTCTGACTCAGAAGTTTGAATATTTCAAAAGCAGGGAATTTCCCACAGGGGTGTTAACAGAAATTTGGAGGCCCGGGGCAAAAAGATTCATATGGGCCCCCCTCTAATATTAATTAATAGGCAGAGGTTCCAATTTTGGGGCCCGGGACAATAGACCTCTTTGTTATATAGGCCCCTACCCTCCATCTAAAATTAATACTTTGTTAAATTCTGTCTAGAACGTGAACACAACCTACTGTCTGTGATAAAACTTATAATGACCTCTTTCTGGAATTATACTACTATTACTATTATACTACTACTATTCTCAAATCCAAAAAACTATTCTCTACCCAAGACCCATGGTATATCTGGAAATTCTATAGTCTTTTTTACTGAGGATACTTGAGACTTTATGGTTACTTGGATAATTGTAAAAAAAAATATATATATATTATATATATATACAACAAAGTAGGATCTGTCTCAAAGGAATCAGGGAACGTACTGCTTCATATTGTTTTAGTTGTTTCACTGTTCATTGTTTTGTAGCAGGTTTTGCCAAAAATGCCCTGCGCTTATTTCTGTTAAAAAAATGCTTAATTTATTGAACTTTTATTACACTGATGTCCTTTTCACTTGTAAATGCAGAGTACGCTTATTAATAGAGTTTAAAGAAGAGAGGATATATATGATTTAAGAGTTGTCTCCACCTGTATATGTATATTTGGTTATGTAATGTGCCATGGAGAGTTTATTCTAAAATAAAATGTTGTATTTTGTGTCATGTTGTCTCCATGTTTCATTTTATCATTCTTTTACATTTAAAGGGATTTTACTTTATTTTATGATTTCTGTTCTGTTTTCTTCTGTAGTTTCCTTGTCGCAAATACCCAAACATATCTGGAGTTGTGTTTTGTTTTGTTTCATTCGCACGTTTAACACAGAAATTTTGTATATTTAGGCTGAGTTTTTCTCTTAAACAAGAACATTCTCTGTTACACCGTGTGCTCCACTGGGTTTTTAAACTCCATACATTTTGATTAGAATCATTTGGATGATTTCAGCCCGGGAATTACAATCTCTACTGAATCAAAGATAAACGGTATCTGTTAATATGAAAACTATTGCTTCATGACATCACAAGGTGGAACACAGCATTCTGAGCTTTGGAGATGTAAACTCAAACATGTGTGAATGAAACAAAACACAACTCCAGGTATATTTTAAAATATTGAACTCAGTAGGCAACAATTTAACAAAACGTACAAGGAAAGTAAAACTGTTCACAAGTTTGTTTTTAGCTATGTGAACCTGACTGAGGAGTATACTGTGGACTGTTGGGAGTCATTGACCCTCTGCTGCTGCCGTAGAAGTGCATCCTGGGAAATATCTGCATACACCACCTGAAACAAACGGCATTGAAAATTAACTAGGTGCTGATAAAAAAAACAATGGGACGAATGTTTTAAAGGTTAGACTGGTGAAGAGTGATAGTTTAGGGCAAAGAAAAGGGCAACCAGGAAAAGGCTGTGTACTGACCTCTGTCTTCTGTGGGGGCTGTGGAGCTGTGAAAAAGAAAGACATTTAGTGAATATAATCTTTGTGCAGCTTTGAGTTAGAATTTGACATCAAAACATTATAAGCATTACGTAGTCAAGACATTTATATGGAAAAAAATACACAAAACTGATGTGGTTAGTTTTGGTTGAGGATGAAAAGCCAGTGTTTATTCATGCTTAATCATACTGTACATGAAATATCAATGATTAAAAAAAATCTAAATAAATAAATACGACAAGTGTGTTTTTAGTGTATATAAATTCCTGGTCCTAGTAGGGAAAGGAAATACCATTACTGTATTTCTGATATTGCCAAATACTTTTGTGTGTAATTTTTTTCAATACTGATACCAGTAGGCCTGTACAGGTCTAATCTTAAGAATGAAAGGATTTTGATAAATGTATGCATTAAAAAGGGTTTCAGATAGGCTTTAAATAATAACCAGAACACTTGATACAGGTCAGTTCAATTAAATGTATGCCGGTCTAAAAATGCACATATGCTAATTAGTAGTAGTAGTACTGCTGATGATGATGCGTAATGGTATTTTATAGTATGAGTATTTTGTCACTTACCCTTTTTGGAGATCACCCTGTCTTTCTGGGGTGCATGTCTTCTGGGTGGAGGTTGCGGGGTGCTCTGCTGCAGTGGAGCCTGATACTCAACTGAGTGCTGGGGCGTAGGGCGCGGTGATGTCAGTGGGGCGAATTTCCTGCAAAAAGGCACGACCTTTGACCTCTGGCGAAACACCAGACCCACGATGATGATGACACAAATAAAAGTGCAGATGCAAATCAAGATCCCATGCAGCACAGTGCGGTCAGATGGCACAGCTGTGAAAAGAGGAAATACATGAAATAGAAACTCATTTTTACTCTTTTTGAAGAAATATTTAGGGGCCTGCCTATATTGTAATAATGTATAATGTTGTTTGCTCATCAAAAGCATAGCTGAAGTTGTGTTTTGTTTCATTCACACATCTTTAACACATAAATCCTGCATATTTGGGCTCAGTTCTTTTCTCACATTCTGTACATTCTGTACCACCTTGTGATGTTATGTGGTAATACAGGAAGTGCTCCACTGTGTTTTTAAACTCCATTGACCTTCACTAGAATCATTTGGATAATTTCAGCCCTGGAATTGACAATCTCTTCTGAGCTAAAGGTAAAATGTAGCTGCTAAATTAAAATCTACCACTTCATGACATCATAACATTGATAGATAGATAGATAGATAGATAGATAGATAGATAGATAGATAGATAGATAGATAGATAGATAGATAGATTGACAGATTATACTTTATTATCCCCAAGGAAATTTATTAGTATATCATATGGTGGAACAGAGCATTTAGATTTAAGATTTCGCTATAAGAATGTTGTTGTTCTTTTTTTTACTTTTCAAATTTTACTTATTTATTCGAATCATGACAACATCCTTGACTGTTACCTTGCAACCATCATATACATTAGGCCAAAACTCCTCTAATGTACAAAGGGCAAAAAATATAAGAAAACACCTAAATCAAGTTTAAAGTATCAGAAAAAATGTGTTTTGTAAGTATAAATTATGCCAAACCTATGGATATAGAATTCTCCTACACACTTTATGTAGTCTCTTACCTACAGTGACATTGACAAACATCAAGTGTCCCTGTTCCATCTCCTGTGAGTCCCACTCAACGCTGCACCCATAGAAGCCTTCATTAGATTCTTTCACTGTCAACAAATGCAGACTGAGGCGTGTTTGATTTGCGGACAGATCTTCATTCTTCAGACTGAGATATTCGTTTGATTGGAGAGATCTGAAAGGTTCATCTGTGGAGTTTTTCCAAATCCATTTCCCTTTGAACTTTTCCCCACAGTGTTGGACCACACATGACAAAGACAGGCTTTCTCCAGTCACTACATTTAAGGTGGCTCTTCTGTTCAAAACTGCAGTAAAGCAATTTTCAGCAGCAGCACCTATAAGATACAAATCAATAATCAGTTAATGAACCACTTACACTTGTACACCAGAACGAAACTGAGACCAAAGAAGTAGAACAGAAACCTAGGTAAGGGAAATAACAGAACTGGAACAGGTCCAACCCAAGTCGTCACCAGGAGTCTAAACCAGGACCAAGCAGGACTATAAACCAGGTCTAAACCAGTAGCAAACAAATGAGCATGCCCTTAGTTGACACAGACACAGACAGCTTATACCTAACATATCTTCTTGTTTAACTGTTGCATAACTTAAATATATCTCGCAAATCGACCCATTGTACCATGCTTTTCACGATCAGTGGACAGCAAGGACTTTGTTGAGAAGTACTTCTACCACTGAAGAATTATGATGCATGTTTAGGTTGATGAAGAAAAACACCGTGAAAACTCAAAATTTCCACAATGGGCGTCGCAAATTTAGGGAATCAGGAGAACTCCCAGTGACATTTGATGACACACACACAGATACTGCTTGCACGTGGTAGATATTTAACTCAAAGTGAGCAGTGAGCAGTTGTCTTATTACTGAAAACTATTTTGGTCCATTTACAAGAAGATTTTCATGTTTATTTTATGTTGTGGATAGGAATGTGGGTGTCTTCTTGCTTTGTCTTATCTCTAAACCTCCTACACACCACATCAGATTTTGTCAAAGGTGGGACTAAACACATAACTAAACCTAGACTAGACCAGGACTTGGAAAAAAAGACTGACTAAAAACAGATCTACCCCAGAATTAAACTCAAACCAGGACAAAAGATGATCCCACTTACCTAAGAAAAGCATGCAGAGACAGATGTTTGCATAGAGCAGATTCCAATACATCTCCTGTTCCCAAAATGCCGGTTTATTAGTAGTATTATGTAGTCCTTAGTGGCTTAGTCTGTGAGGTACATTTTACTCAGTACGATGCTGCTCTTGTCTTGCCTGTAGCAGTGAGGAAGGAAGAGACACGCATAGACAGGCCTCACCCCCACACACTCCCAAATGACAGGAAAGAAACAAGTTCATGAACAGCAATATAAACGCCCCACCCAAAAGGGAAGCAGCAACACATGGGAATTGTTGTTTTTTTTTTGCACTTTATATTGAACTTCTCACCCTCCTTCTCATTGAATAAGATGACAAGTTAAATAGGCCAAGGCAATGGTGAAGTTAGGTTATTATAAAGTGATTATGAAGCAATTTCTATAGGCATAATCAAAGAAAAATGTAAGAGTAAGTAGGCCATGTAATTGGTTGTTTATTAAACTTTTTTTTATACTACATTGTTTTACACAACAGTGGTTATTTGCATCAAAGTGATACGACCTACTGATCTTCTCTGGGGATTTGGCAAGAGTTTAGACCAGATCTGAGAGAGAGAAAAAAAAAGAAAAAAAAAAGAACACTGTAGAGCTGTGTGATGTGGATCATGTGGCGTCTATCATGTGATCTGTGTGAAATAGAAACCAAAACTGACAAATGGTACTGTTCCTCAAGTCAAGGTATGCGAGTGTCATCTATCCGGTAACAGGACTTCCTCGGTTCACTGAAAGAAACACAGAAATGCTTTACAGTCTTATAAATCAGTGATAAACAAACCATGATGTGAAATCACTTAAGTTATTGTAATATAATATTCTAACACATGTGGATGTAAACCAGGCATGTCCAAACTATGGCCCCGGGGCCAAATGCGGCCCTCAGACGAATTTTTCTTGGCCCTCAGGCTTCCAGGTGAATTGGCCCAAATTACCTTGTATCAATTAAAAATGAGCATTTTACTGCAAGTTTTTTGAAAATCTACCTTGATAAAGCGAATATTTAATATTTAGTCTGTATTTTTTAAGGATTTTAGCGTGACAGCTCATTATAACGTGTTACACATGCACAAATTTCAATTATTCACTGTATTGAGCTCCAGTCTTATTAAGCCGGCGTGATGTTCTGACACCGGTGACAGTTCTGAAGATGGCTTGCAGCTAGCAGCCGAAACATGTCAACAAGGTAAATACACTTTACTGCATTGTCTTTAAAAAGAACCTAAGAAGTTAAAGTTAGAGCTCCAGTCTACGGCCCTCGATCGGCCCTCTGTTTCATCTGTGTTTTGAGATGTGGCCCTTGATGAAAAAAGTTTGGACACCCCTGGTGTAAACTATTTAGCCCATCATTTCTTATTGCAGAAGTTAGACAATTAAAAATGTATTGTCTCAAAAGTTTGCACTACTTTTGTGTGCTCTCTGGGCGGTAATGGAACTGTTAACCCCGCCCCACCGCCACGTCAAAGACGCACCCTGAGACCCTAAACAAGCGCCCCCCGCTCTCACACCGCTGTCTGTGAGAGATAAACAAAGAGCCGGCCACTTTTCAGGAAATCACTAAACCTCCTCAAGCCCCAGAGTCATGGAAGGTAAGAAATGTTCCTCTTTCTGTCGTCTGTGTCACTGTCACGGATCTAACCTGAAATGTGAGCGCGCTTTGTGTTTGACAGCTCCCGATGACAGCTGTGGAGGAAGCTAGCAGGCTAAGCTAACATTGAATGAGTTAGCATGTGAGACTAGCACGTTTCTCTGCCATTATTTTCACCATCGTTTGTCTGATCGTGCAGGTATATTCTAGTATTCACGCAGTGAATAGCCAACGATCACTGTTTGTTAGCGAAACAACATTGTGTTTGTAAAAATGAGGAAGAATAGTTAGCTTTGGGCTGTTAGCCGGTGTGGACTGGAGTTAGAAATGCCTGCATCTGTCAAACTCTTTAAAGTGGCAGCGATTCATTTTGACACAAACAAAAGCACCCGCAATAATCAGACATAAACTGTACAGAAACAAAACAGTTTTATGTTTTTTTAATGAGATCTTGCAATACAGAGTTATGGATGTAATTGGTAACAGCGAATTTTGTTCCATCCACACTTTTTCCACCAGTGCAATTTTACATAAAGTTTTTTACCTTCTTGTGTGGAAGAGATACAAAGGTTACACTAGACAATTATTAATGTTTTTTTTAACTTGAAATTAAATCTGTAAATGATTTAACATGGCATTTGTGTTATACTTCAAGCAGAAATTCACATACAAGTAGTGGTACAACTTAGATTTTTTATGTTGTGAACAATAACATGTTGTGTAACCAGGAATATGCAAACATGCAAGTCACAGCTGCCTGAACTTGGCCCCTGTCCATAGAAAACCGTGTCTGTACTCCCAATCAATGTCTCTGCAAGTCTAATGCCTTCCTCTGATTTAATTATAGGTCTTTTTAGTCAAAGACTGATACCCACTTATGGCATTTTTGTCTACCCAGCAGGAAATTGTCAGTTGTTATTGTCAACTTTTCAGTCTAAACTACTTTCACCTTAACAGCTCATATATTGGGCTTGATGCTTGATTAGTTAGGACGCTGAACTTCTCTATGGAGGTCTGCTTTGTGTTCATGGAAAATAACAGAAGCTGAGAGAGTGAGAGGTCAACTCCAGGCAGCATGCATGACTAGGCAATGTCTCTCCCCATGTTTAATTGCATTGCTGTATTATTTGAGTTGTACACCCCATGTTGGTGTCGGACTGATTTTGTCACTGTGTTTTTTCCCCTGTTTTGCTTTGAACAGGTGGATTCCACAGGAGTTTCCAGGGTTGAGCTATATGTGATTCTTGTAAAGATAATAAAATTATTATTACAACTATTGATATAATCAGTTCATACCACGGCGTAACTAAGGCTCAATAGTATTCAACAGAACTAGGTATGTAACAATTGGCCTGGCAAGTACAGGATGAAATCCCTCATATCTTCGTAAAGTACTGGAGAAGTGTGTATTCTGGATTCCAGGAACTATGTAACAAAACCTTTTTATTGTATTGCGCAATATCAAATGTCTATGACTCACTGTAATTTTGTTTAATAATGTAATATTAGTGCAAGCTTACTATTGTTTTGTTACAGCAGTAGCTAAAAAAGGGAACTACATAAACCATGTCCCTTATGTCCCTAACATTTAATAGTTTACTTTAGTTCTCTTTTGGTCTTCCAATATTATGCCCAAATAGAGGTTATTTTTAACACACCAGTCTTTAAAAAATTAGTTAAAGATAAACTATTTTTGGAAAATGTAATCCATTGTGCAATTAAAATTATACATTGCATAGTGCATTGTTGATATATATTTTTATAACATACAGAACCCAAAAGAAGTTGGCTGAGGCAAAAGCTTATGTGTCAGATTTTACAGCAATACACTCCCTTGAGACTACAACCAAGAAACAAGTCTAGTTTTCTGTTGCTGCAAATGGTCAGTCTATACCTTATCAATCATAATCAGAGGTTTCCACTGAATCATCCATGTTGTTTGTGGATCGGACATTATTTGTTGTGTGTTCAATAAAGGATGCAAAGTACTTTTATGAATATTGATCTTGGTTTTTCCAGCCATTATCATGATGTCATATAACTGTGTGAGTGCCCATAGATCAGGCTTTAAGTGGGAGCTGTCTGGACCCAAAGTGCACAGGACACATGGGAATTAGGACATTGCCAAATCCCAGCCCAGCGGAAATTCCTCTTTGAGTTTGGAAGTTCTGATCCATGCTTCCATTTAATAGTGTCACATTCATAGTGCAATGACCAATCAGGAACAATCATTCAAAACACAAACAAAACAGTGTAAACTAGAGCCCGACCAATATGGATTTTGCTGTGGCCGATATGAAACCGATATAATGGGAGTTGGAGCTGCCGATAGCCGATATAATCGCCGATATATTTAGTGACGTAAAAATTCACTGTAAATGTTGAATTGTTTAAAAAACTTAGGTTTGGCTCTGGTGGATTTTAAATTGGGTTTATTTAGGCAACATTTATTGTTATTCTGCCTCTTTACATCATATTTACAGACAGTAGGTTGGTTTAATGGCATTTTTGCATCACATTCTAGACACTCGTGATGGGTATTCCAGTTCTTTTTAGAGAACCGGCTCTTTTGGCTCGGCTCACTAAAAGCTGCTGGTTCTTTTGGCTCCCAAGCGGCTCTTCAGATTGTTTTGTTGCAAGCAGGTCTAAAGCAGGACTAAAGCAGGACTGAATCAGGACTGAACCAGGTCCAAACCAGGACTGAACCAGGTCCAAACCAGGACTGAAAAAGGACTAAACCGGGACTTATTTATTTTATGCTAAACTACAGCCAAATATGCTCCTTTTTTTTATCCTATGCACACGCAAATTTCTCAAAGTTTTGTTTTGAGCCGCTGCTGCTGTCAAACCACGAGTCTGCACACGGCGTGAAGAGAAAAAAAGTGAGAGAAAGAGAAAACACGACTCCCAATAAGGATCAGGCCCTCGTTGTTCGCTTCAAAGAGCCGGCTCTAAGAGTCATTTCGTTCGCGACCGACCCATAACTAGTAAAGAAACAATCGCTATTAGCCTTTAGCCGTAAATACGTGCGCGCCGCGGTAATTAATTATATGCGCAAATGTCATAATTCACACGTCTATTCACAGCTCATTTACATATCAGTGCAGGTCCAGTAGCAAATATACGGCCAATATAGTCACTTTAGAACAGACCAATAGAAAACAGTCTGTTTATGTGCGAGAGCTACAGCAGCTAACCCATAACAAATGACAAAAACTAGCTTCAGAGTTGACATATTTCCAACACTCACCGCTCATACAGGCTCCTCCTCACATCACAAGTCTGCACTAATAAATGTCCTTTTAATCCAGACTCAAACCGATTGTCCGTAAAAAGAATATAATCTCAGTGTTGCGCACCACTGCGGGTGTAAACAAACGCACGTGAATGACGCGACTCTGTGGTGTGTTCAGGGACAGTATGGACACACACAGACAAATGACTCCGTAGATAAATACTGATGCGGAGCCACATATTAAATGGTAAATGGTCACATTTTTCTATAGCGCTTTTCCACCTTCAAGGCACTCAAAGCGCTTTACAACAAGGAACCACTCACCCATCCACACACACATTCACACACCAGTGTACGCAGACACTGTGGGCAAGGTGGGTT